ATCATTTTGGCTTTAGAGCCTGGAAGGGTAGAGAAGTAAAGGGGTATGGAGAGTTAGTTCCTGTTCACCTAACTGAAGCTGCTGATGCCAAACATGCACCAGAGGACTTGCTGCATTGGGAACCAAAGTGGGAACTGTATTAAATTGCAAAATGATGTGTCCGGATTATGTTGGCTATCCCAAGATGATGGGGATGCCAGAGTCATGGGATATGTGCCAATGGGATCTGCATATGGGAGGAGTGGAACCAGCCCAAAGAGAAAAGTATGTGGCAGTCAGCAAACTTGGATGGAAGAGCCACCTAAGCTCTTTAACACTGAATATAGAACTAGAATATTTGGGGTTTATCCTGCTGGATTTCGGTCTTGCCTTGGTCCAGTATTTCCTTACTATGTCCCCTTTCATACCTTTTGGAATGGTAATGTATGTTTTGGAGAAATGTTGAATCTCAGAAGAGACTTGGGACTTTGGAATTATATTGAGAATGTGCATGACTGTGGAGGCTTTTGGAGTTTCATTAAATGGATTTTGCATTATTACATGGCTATAAGTTTATAGGAATGTGTTAGTTTAAATGAGGATGGCACCTATAACCTCATATACAGGTATGTTTGATCCCCAGTTCTTGGAACAGTTCAGGAAGGATTTGGAAAAAAGGCTTTCTTTAAGCATGTGTGTCACTAGGTTGGACTTTGAGGTTTCAAAAGCCCATGCATGAAATTTCCAGTTATCTCTCTCTGCCTTGTTTTTTATGGAAAAAGATGTGAAGTATCAGTTACTATCCATGTGCGGTGACTGCCTGCCTGCTGCCATACTCTCTAACATAATGGTCATAGATGCTAATGCTATGGAACCATGAGTGTCAAATTAGATATTTCTTTTTATAAGTTACCTTGGATGATGTTTTACAACAGCAATTGGTATTGAAGACTAACCCAAAGTACCAAGAGCACATTCACAATAAATGTTCTCAAGAATTTAACAATAGCCTCTAAGCTAGTTTAACTTTTAAATGCTAAAAATAACAGTGAAAACAAATCATAAAACAATGTAGTATACACATAAGGAATCTACCTTATATGTAACATTCAGAACTAACTGCTACATGCTACATGGTTATGATTACTTCCAAGCTCAACTTTACTTTTATTATGATTCACCTACATTTATCTCCTTTTCTTGTCATCTTCCTAATATGAAAGGAGTATGACAAAAGCTTTCTGACTTGCTACCTTGTAAGTCTTTGGAGAAAAACATGATGGCAAAATCTAGTCATCGGGATTTATCAGCTATTCACGTAGTGAATTCTAGACCACCTGGGCCACATAACAAGGCCCTATCTCAATCAAGAAAGAGAGAAGGGGGAGGGAGGAAAGAAGGGGAAGGAAAGAAAAGAGAGAGAAAGAAACAAAGAGAGAGAGAGGAATCAGAAGCACTGAAAATGTGAAAGGAAAAAAGGAAGGAAGGAAGGAAGGAAGGAAGGAAGGAAGGAAGGAAGGAAGGAAGGAAGGAAAAAAATAAAGAAAAATATTCAAACTAACAGACTTTGGCACTAGGGAACTGACTCATCCCATAAAAAAATTACAATGCAAGACTGCTGACCTGAGCCTAGATCCCCCAAACCCACACAAAATGATCAACTGATATACACATGTCAGGATAATTCTTTGGTATTAGTCTTGCCATCTATCTTAATATATTACTGTAGAATACAAATGCTTGACAGTAATTCTGAAATTAGCAAGTATAGCAATTTCAACTTCACTTTTCTAAGTTCACTTAAAATTGAGGGACAGTTTTCTTTACAAATATAGTTAGGATTAAGCAGTCAATTAAAACACGCACATACCTGGACACATGGGGAAGGGCCCAGGCCCAGGCCAGGATGATGTGGTGGACTTTGCAGAGCCCCCGTTGAAGGCCCTACCCTGCCTGGGAAGTGGAGAGTGGATGGGGTGGGGGGTGTCAGGGGTGGGGGAGGAGGGATAGGGTGAGGGGAGGGAGAGGGAGAAGGGTTTGACATGAGAAACAAGCATGTTCCTAATTTGAACTAATAAAAAAAATTTTAAAAAAGAAAAAAAAAACACAAAAATATCCCAACCTTGTTATTACCATTGAATGAATTTGAGAACTGATACATTGGTAATACTAAACTTTCCAGTTCACATCCATGCTCTGACTTTGCATTTATTCATGTTTAACTCGATTGACAGTATTTTTCACTTTCTTGTGAAAATATTTTACATTTCTTGTCAAACTTATTCTTAAATAGTTCTTACACTGTAAAGTTGTATAAGTTTTCTGCCCATTGAATTTTCTAATTGTTCAACTCTAGAGTGAAGACTTATAACAATCTTTCAAGGGGATTTGAATCCCAGTACCACAATAATTTTCAATGTATTTTTCTTTTTTAAAATCTTTAAATTTTTCTCTGCATTCGGTATGTCAGTACCTATAAAATATTCCTTTTTAAAGTAGCTGATTTTTAGAAACTATTCATGTTGTTTCTGTCCAGTGTTAAGATTTCCAGTCTTCAATTTTTCCTCTATGTCTATATAAATCACTTCTTTTTTTAATTCAGGGAGAATATGGATTATCTCTGTGTGTATCATTGACAATCACTTTTAATCTAATGCTTAAAAATGTCTTTTTCTGAGACAGAAGCTATGCATGCTAGTCCTGCTTTAAGCCTGAGCATTCAGACTTGTGTATTCAGCCTTGAGTTTCTGGGGTGGGGCCTGAAGTACACTTGCTAGTGTGAACATAATACAATAGGGCCTTCTGTGTTGTATAATATGATATTCATAAGTATCTTTGGGTTGCCACACACTTCTGCAAACAGCTTAGAATTCTGTGGAGTTTTTACAAATGCCAGAATATCTAATTGTGGTGCTCATGATTTCCAAATGCATAAACAAACTTGTATCCAGATGCAGCCACATTAAATGCTATTAACAAAGTTCTCGCTAATCTAAAAGGATAGCAGCAAATGTGTTTCTGGAGGGAATGGCTGGTTTTTAATCTGTAGTGGAAATAAATCTCTCACTAAAATTTGAAGACACATTATCATGATACTGTGTAGGGAGCAATGAAAGTAGATGAGTTAGCAATCAAATTTCATGCTTCAGGGCTTGAACTGTTTTTATATCAGTTATAACGACATATTTTGAAATAAGTGAAGGAATTTTTCTTGTCTTAAAAAGTATAAAGTTATCTATGAAGATCATGGTCCAATCTGGAGACTCAAACAGAAACATAGCTATTCAAAATGGGACTTCCACAAAGCTCTATCTGTCTTTTGGTCTTACTAAAATGATATTGAAAATTATGTTATGAAATATTTGGTCACAGAAGAAGTCTATGAAATTTTCCAAGGGGCATTTGTCCTCATCACTAAGAGAATCTTTTTTTTCTTAGTTTTTTATTTTTATATATTTGAATTACAAACAAGATTGAATTACATGATGATCCCAGCTTCCTTCTCCCTCCCTTCCTCCTCTACCACCCCCCCAACTAAAATCCTACCTGTCATATGTCCTTTCTTCTAATCTACACCTAACTCAAAATTTCTGCTTCCTCATGACAGCTGCATCCTTCCTTTTCTTCCCTTCTCACTCTCGTAGCTCCCTCCTCCCTCTTCCCATGTTGTCAATTTGCTCAGGGGATGGTGACCCTTTCCCCTTCTCCAGGGGACAAAGTTTGTCTCTTTTGGGGTCTTCCTTGTTTACTAGTTTCTTTGGCAATGTGGATTGTAGGATGGTAATTGCTTACTCTATGTCTAAAATCCACATATGAGTGAGTACATATCATGTTTGTCTTTTTGTGATTGGGTTACCTCTCTCAGAATGGTTTCTTCGAGTTCCATCCATTTTCCTACAAATTTCAAGATTCCACTGTTTTTTTTTTTTTCTGCTGTGTAGTACTCCATTGTGTAAATGTACTACATTTTTCTCCATCCATTCTTTGGTTGAGGGGCATCTAAGCTGCTTCCAGTTTCTGGCTATTATAGATAGTGCTGCTATGAACATCTTTGAACAGATGTCTTTTGTGTATGAACAATGTTATATGAATGTGCTTCTTTTGGGTGTATGCCTAGGAATGGAATTGCTGGATCTTGTGGTAGACTCATTCCCATTTTCTTGAGGAGACGCCATACTGATTTCCACAGTGGCTGTACAAGTTGGCACTCCCACCAGCAGTGGAGAAGTGTTCTCCTTTCTCCACATCCTCTCCAGAATAAACTGTCATTGGTGTTTTTGATTTTAGCCTTTCTGACAGGAGTAAGATGGTATCTCAGAGTTGTTTTGATTTGCATTTCCCTGATGGCTAAGGATGTTGAACACTTTCTTATGTGTCTTTCAGCCATTTTAGATTCCTCTATTGAGAATTGTCTATTTAGTTCTGTACCCCACTTTATAATTGGATTGTTAGGTGTTTTGGAGACTAGCTTCTTGAGTTCTTTGTT